TTTAAGGGAATAATTTAATTCTAGCAAATTTTCTTCTTTTTCACTTACTGACCTTAATGTGGAGCCTGTGAAAGGTACATACAGATAAACCAAATATTACAGGGCTTTTCACATCTTATTGCTGAGAACTCTCACTCTATGATATTATCAGATAGGAGATCTGAAAATTTTATTTTTTAAATTATTGCTCAGCTAATACATTGCAGAGTTGACAGTCTCTGAATTTATTGTTCAGTAATGATAATTATCATGATCTTAATGAAAGTATTATCCAGTGTATGTGAAAAGTAATTATGTGCAACTGGCTTAAGTTGTATGACAGGCTGGTATTTGCAGAGAGATGCTCTGTGCCACTAGAACTGCTCACAGAAAAATGAAGTAGTGTTTGTTTTAAAGTGAAAAATATATACATGGCACATTAAGTCAGCTGCTATCATCAAAGCAAAACCTAATCTAATGCTATTATCAGCCCCAAATTTGATGTATTATTCCTAGATACGTTAATTTTCCTCATATTTTAAAGCCTACTTAGCTACAACTACTTTTTTTGAGCCTGCCATTAATACACTTACAATTTTACTTCAACAAATGTCTAATAAATTTGCACCAGCTTTGCCTATTTTCAAAGTATTGTGAGTGTTCAAAACCACAGCAAGTCATGAGAGAATTGCTTGTGCTTAATGTATTTTAATTTCCACGATCTGCCAGCAACTTTGGTTTCTAAGAGTTAATAATGACCAAATCCATGCAATAATGAATGGATGTGAGTGCAACACACAGATATTAACCCATGTGCACCTGAAGGCAGTGCAGTCCAGCATTCCTGACTAGGGGGATGAAGTGCACTTTGAAGCCTTTTGATTCCTAAGGAGTTAATGAAGTGACTAAATGTCCATCCTGCTGAAAGGGACACCCCAGGAGTGCTTTTATACACCAAAAATGAACTTTCCTGTTTTGTGTCGGACATAATTCCACTGTCAAAAGACATGAGTTAATATTCATCTAACTGCAGCTTACATGGGGAAGAGCAGTTTCACTGTAAGGAAGTTAATGAAGACAGTAATAGCGTCTGCATAGAAGTTTTCTTCTTAAAGAAAGTGAATTAAATGAATTGATGGCTGGAATGAACCTTTTCTTTGAAAAATGCTTCACTTAGAGAAAGGTAAAAAAACCCTCTAAGAGTACTAAGAATTTAATTCCTCAATGCCACAAGTGAAAGGCAATTGTAGACCTTGATGGTGCTGCTGTCCTTTGTGCCTCTCCAAGGTACTGTTTGTGCTCGTGTAAAGAAAGTTAAATGTTCTTTGCTTTTAAGCCTGATGAAGTACAGGCAGGCAAGGCAAGCAGAATACTCGATATCCCAGAGCAGCAATTTCTTTTGATGCAGCCACCTTTAGAGAGCTGCTAGTTTTGGTAAGATGTGCAGGGAAACAGGCAAAATCATCCCATCAGTCAAGACCCTGGATAACAGTGCAGCTGTAACTCCACATTTCTCTGCTGGTGTGTTTGGAAATGAATCTGTCTGGGTGTAATGTGAAGTCTCTCCTAGAACTTCTTGGGGAATGTAGAATAATAACAAACACCTGAAACCCTAATTCTTCTCCTTGCTCATTTTCTCTTGTTCTTGGTCTTTTAGTCTCCTCTCCAATTCTCCACTTCATACTTTTCTAGCACATACAGACCATCATTCTGTTCTAGAAACACCTCTTGAAAATACCAGGCTGAGGCTTTGGTGACAGAGAATGCACAAAAGCCAAAATGAATGTACACCCACACTGCACTAAGCAAGGAAGGGATGACAGTGACTTTTAGGACTTAAATTTTTAAACACACATCATCATGTCCCACTGACTCTGCTGCACATTTGTTAGTTGCCTTAAGTCATAAACTATAACAACAACCTCAGGAGTATGTGCAGGCCATTTGCTTCACATTTATGTATTATACAGGGATTTGTTGACTTTACATACCCACTCATTTAGGAGCAACTCATCATCCTATTCCTGTTTTTATCTGGAGGCTTTAACAAAATATTACCAACACCATTAGGATAGGTACTAATATGTGGTTATTTGCTGCAAATTCCACTTTGAGTAACAATAGCACTTAAATTAAATAGAGTGTATGAAAAAAAATTTGCCTGTGTCCCAAAGGAAACTTTCTCCCAGAAAATGTCACAGCAATGCATGCTTTCAGAGTAGGATCTAAAAAAAGCTGAAAGCAAAGCCATTTACTGATCTTTTCTCCCCCCTACCCTGAACAACTGACAAGGGCACACAGTGGTAGGGCAAGAGGGGATAGTTTTAAACTAAAAGAGGGTGGATATAGGGAAGAAATCTTTCCTGATGTGGGTGGTGAGGTTCTGGCACAGGTTTCCCAGAGATGCTGAAGAGCTGGCAGGGCCTCTCCCCATAAGTGTCTTAAATACTGGTACACAGTGAAGGAGAAATACATCAACATTTAGCACCTTAAACCTGCTAGGAAAGCCTTACTGCAGAGTCAATTAAATAACATTCCTTGAAACATCTCAAGAATTTCTGATGTTTTATTCTCAGAACTAGTGCTACTTTTGATTTGGTGTACTTCTCACCTAAGGACAACTCTGTTCCCACATCAGTGAGATGAATCCATGCACACAAACATAAGGATACTTTTTATGGCATAAAAATGGTGACCTGTTAAGTACATGGAAATTAAGGTTTTTGCATTAGCAAGACTTAACTCTACCAAGCATTTGAATGAATTTCACCATAAGCACCACTGTTCTCCCTATTTTTAGCACTGTTTATGTCCTCACTCCTCATGCACCACAGCAATGTCACTCCTAGAAGTCATTATTACAGCTGACACATGAAATTATGGCTGATTGATTCAGCCAAATCATTGTAAGCTTGTTTAAGAGCATTAAAAAAGCTTTGTATTGATTTAGCAATATAAGGTACTTTTAATCAGATTAAAGAGCATCGTACAAGGTGGTTGTATCAATTTCCCTGATCAGTTTAGCAGGAGATCCACTGAGATTGATGCATCAGCCTAACTGGATCACTGGCTAAACTGATCAGGGACATTGATCCCTCCTGGTGCACAAAAAATGTGTGAAATGACAACTTGCTCCACAGGCAATAAGCAGCTCCCATAAGATGTTTCTCCATTTCTCACAGTTTTATATGCATCCTCTCCATGTCTCATCTTTCCTGTATTTATAGGGCTGCCGTATTTACTTCCCAAATTTCATGGACAGCAAGATGTGAGTGGATGCTCTCTGGCTTTTCCAATATTTTGAGACCTACTGCACACAGAGTGCTCTGATGATTGGTGTGTGTACACTAAATCTGTCACCTCCTGAACGTATCAGACTCACTGTGCACCATCTATCAAACTTCCAAGCAGGCTCACACTTCCAGCATGGGCATTTCAGCTGCAGAAGTACTCAGAGACTCCTACACACGCCAGACAAGTTTCCTCAAGTGTCCCTTTTAGACAAAATTTCTGACCAGGGAAATGGAATTTATATGGAAAACTTGAGGTGTATTTCAGCCCTGCTGTAGGCAGTGTTGCAGTTCTCCCATTTGTAAGCAGGACCACAGTTAGAGGTGATTTTGCCCCAGCAATCCCAAAGGGGTAAGAGCAAGAGGAAAGCACAGCAGGTGAAAATCAGGATCTTTATATTAACATGGCATACACAGCTCTACTTGCAATTTTCCCAAACTGTAGAGAACTCAGGCAAATCTCACTGTCAGACACTGAAGGCTTGCCTTGGTCACTCTGCTCTGTTCCCTGTAAGGATTCCCAGGAAACTCTCACATATCAGGATAACAAGGCCTTGTCACTATCTGCAAATTCCTGATTTGTGTATTCTCAGCATCAACAACACAAAATTTGTAATGTTGCACAAGTGAGGGAAGTAGATCCTTAATGGTTAATAACTCAGGATTTGTCACTTAGCTCTCTTCAGGAGATTGCCCAGGAACCCATTGTTTCATCTTCCAGCTGTTTCCCATCAAATTACTATTAAATTATTCATAAATTATTACATTGTTTCTTCACATCCCTGCAATACTAATTTCAACAGTTTCAAAGCTATTCTAATATCAGCTTTCAGATTTCAAAAAGGCACACAGCAGTAAAATATACTGTACAGATTAGCAAAATTCAAATTTAAGAGAAGTTTTGCCTTTCTAATATGAACTCTGAAGCACTCCTGGAACACAGCAATATCCCATTACATCCATTTACTAGTACATCTATCCCTTTGAACACACAAAAATGTAATGCACAGTTAAAAACTAGCAACATTCCTGGCATTTCAACAGCTTTCTAATAAATGAGACAAGATTTAATCCACATTTTTTAATGTTAGCCAAATGCTTCAGTTTCTGAATGAAACTGTGCAGATAAAAACATGGGGTGGCTTCATAACTGTTTCAGAAAAGGATAAATGAGCACACTTTGAGATAATAACTAATCAAAATGCAAGTACTGTGTCATTAGGGGTGAGCTGCTAATTAGTAAAAAATAAATAAATTGTCATTGTTGGCAAAAAAATAATGAAAAGAATAAACAATATGTAGAATTTTATTGTGAGGAAAATAGTACTAAGTATAACTCTGCAACAAACCCTACAGATTCATGTTTTAAAAGAAAAAAAACCCCTCAGAATTCATTAAGTTAGTGCACTCAAGTAAACATAATTGAGAGATGAACATTCCTTTTTCCAAAATGTATCATGGAAATGAATAGCGTGAAGGAAGCTCAGACATTCTGCACATCCAGCCCCTTATGCTGCACCAGGACCATTAAAACCACATGAATTATTTTGTCAAACTGCTTCAGAAGTTCAGAGACAGTCTTAAAATAGTAATTTATCTCAAACTTAGTATGAACACGGCTACTTTATTCTCTTTAAACCTTAATTAGTGTACTTAAAATGTAAGCTGTGTTATCAAATATAATTAATCATATTTTAGGGTGGGTGTATTTTGAGCTTTAAACTGACTTACATTCTGCTGCTTGGTATAATCTTGTGCCCGTCTCTAAACCACGTCACTTGGGGCCTTGGGTGGCTGAGGATGTGTGGGAAGTTCAGAACAGCAGCTTGTCCTTCAGTCACTGTTTTTCTCTGGTCTGTGTCCATGAAATCTCCCATATCTGCAAAAAATTTAAAAAAATTAAAAAGGGAAGTTTTGCTTTTCTCCCCATTTCTTTTCAGGAGACACAGAAATCGCCGTGTTTCCCACCAAGCACTGGCACTGATAATTACTCATGGGACACTATGGATTACAGGACAGTTTGGAATTTGGGGAGTTTATAGAGGTTTATAGAGGCAGATGAAGGAAACCCCAGTGCTGCTGCTGCACACAGACAGAGCATCCACCGGCAGCCCTCTGCTCTTGGGCAGAAACTGAGGGGTTTTGCTGAAAATGACATTTTAATGGAGGTTTGCTTGCTTTGGTTGGAGGCTTTTTCAGACAAATCCTTAACAATTAAAAAGAAACTCCTGCAATTCAAAGGGATGCTCATGCTGTATATTTTTTGGTCATCTTTTTGGTTTTTATCCACAGCTACACAAACAGACAAGCAGCTCTTCCACTGCAGCCCGGCCAATAGAGTCAGACCTAGGCAAGGATCTCAAAATGATCCTGGAATCCCAAGGTCATGCTGGGGGCTCTCAGCTCTTCTGGCACAACATTTCAAGGTCAGTAGTGCATCCCTAGTGTTAGAGAGCAGCTTTTAACAAAAGTTTTAATGGAAGAAATGATACTACCCTTGCAAAACCCTTGCCTCTGCAGCCTTTGTTTCACAGGCAAGTTCAGGTATCTGGGGAGGCCTTGGAGAAATTCAGTGAGTGTTTTTTTCTTGTTTTTCCATTGCCTTTTCCACTGCACTCTTATCCATTAAAATGAACAGGGCTGTAGGCTCTTACTCCTTCACCCTTCAAAGAACTTCTCTGCATTTTAATTTGATTTAAACTAGGAAACTGACACACATACAACAGAGAACTATTCCAGCTTCTGTCACTGAATTCCCTTTCTTTTAAGGACATCAGGGTTCTCTACTAGTTCTGTGCTGCAGAGAGGGATGCAAAGGACACAGAAAAGAAATGACTACTATCAGGTCTGTGAATGGCAGGAGACGAGAAGAGACAGAACAAGAGCAGAAATTAAAAACACATGGTATTTTAAAGAAGCTTTAATCATCTTTGTGATTTTCAGGTTATTTATTCAGACGTAATCAGCATTGTACTTCCTCTGCTGCTCCAGATTCCTTACAACTGTAATCAGATCAGCTACTTGAAAAGAAATTTCAAACTGCGGAGGTGGATCTAATTAACTTCACTGTTGTATGATTATTTTAGTTTTCACAATACTGGAGTTTTTAAGCCCATCCTGTAATTAAGATTTACTCAGCAGTTTTCTCACAAATATCTGTTCCCATTCAGTTAAGTAATATGTTAGCATGTGTTGAGAATATTTTTTTAATTATTTAACAGGTTCCCTGCTACTTCAGATATCTAGGACATGGAAAATACCTCAGATCTTCCTCAGTGCCATTATAATTACACCTTTCAATTTTTCTCTAGAGATCTTGAGTTGATGCGTATTGGGAAGCATCCTCTACTCACTGGCAAAAATAGATCATTTCTTGTGAATCCTTCTGAGTTAAAACACTAACATTTCAACCCCCACAAGTTTTGATGAGTGGCTAAGATGATTTTAGGAAGCCCTTGGAACATTGCTTTCTGATGTGTTTTGAAGAATAACCGAAAAGCAATATATGATAAAATATCAGGAACTTCACTACATCCACACAGCTTAAATAAATTAATTTAAATCAAAACCATTAAAACACAGACAACAATCATGTGGTGTCAGTAGCTACCCTGAGAGAAGGGGAAAGAGAATATTTAAAACTTGTGGAACACTTTAATCTGCAGGAATAAAGTGGAAATCTGACTGGCAATTTCACTACAGAAGCCACTGGTGTCACAAAGGCACCAGTGACCAAAGACCAAAGGTCTCCCAAGTCACAAAGGGTCTGGTTTGCTTTGTCTCTGTCTTTATCAGTGAAAAGAAATGAATAAATGAATTAATAGAGAGACTGCTTAATTCAGACAGATTTAAGAGAGAACCTTTTAGCCTCCTTCAGCAATGCAGATTGAGAAATTAAATAGGGGAGGAACTAAAACTGAAGAAAAGTAAGCAATTGCACTTCTTCCTCTATCCAGAACAGCCAAACACACAAAAACCAGCCTGGAGAGACAGAACTGTGCGCTGCAAACTTTCCCCTCCTTCAGAGGGGAACAAAGCTGTCATTTCAGGAGACAGAATTCTTCAGCAGCAGCAGCAGCATCAAGGAAAAGCATTCCTGTGTCTCCTTCTCACTATTGTTCCCACCAGGACTTCCTCAGGAATTGCTCCCTGTGCTGTGCCAGTACAACTGCTTGCACAGCTGGGTAGGGAGCTGGACAGGGAGGACTTGGTAGACAAATTTAACAGCCCAACAAAAGAACTGTTGCTCTTCTAGAAATTTTGGAGAAGTCTCCCAGCCCACAGCTGCTCAAACAAATTTTCCTGCTGAGCCTAAAGGGGAGTGAGCTCCACTGCAACCCAGGAGTGGGAATCATTAGTGGGATGCAGGAGGAAATGGGCACATTTTTCTCTGGGAGTGCTACCAAAGCCTTGGTCCCCTGAAACCACAGCTGGAGATGAAACTCCAGAGGCATCCAGTGCTGCACAAGAGGAGGCACCTCACCCTCCCCTTCCTCTCTAAACCCCCTGTTTGCCCCACGCCTCACTCAAAGTTCTGCTCAATCACAGCAGCTTGCAGTAGATCCTCTGACCTGACAGAATTCACTAAAACTGCAGAGGAGTATTTGGAAAAATACTTGCAAGGGTCTGAGCCAGGTCAGAGGGAGCCCATGGTCAGTAGACAGCAGGGGCACAAGGGCTGGCAGAGGTCAGGGAAGGAAAACCCCATTTTAGCAGCAGTTTATTTTTACTTTAGCTCCCAGCAGCTCTGAAACAATAGGGAGACCAAACATCAAATTACTGATATCACTGACATTACAGATATAGTAACAAAATCTACTGTAATGCAGTAAACTGATGAACATGATATCAAAACTTACATAATACCATTTGCAACTGGTTTTATTTTAAAACACAGGAAATTCCATGTAATTTCCCTTATTGACATACTGATTAACTTGAATCAGTTTCTTCAAATTGGGTATCTAATAAATAATTCAATGTCTCTAAATTCTGCTTATCAAGTGACATTTACCACTACTGAATTTCCAGTTACCCACCCTGACAACGAGGAATTTGATCCAGTATGAGACTTCTTAGGCACAGCACATACATCTCTCTCTTAAAATTTCTTTTATGCTTTTACTTTGGAAAAATAATTAAGGCCTAATTATGTTCTTATTTCCAAAAAAGTTACTTGAATTTTATTTTCTATAGGTTAACTGAGAAAAAGGAAATCAAAGGTTTGTGATCATTTCTTATGTCACGTTCATTAGCACAAACACCTGAGAAAACTAATGTAACCTTTCCAATTGGCAGCTGGATATCAAAAATTCTGCAAGGTCCAAACAGAAGTGGGACAAACATTGTGGGGGGATTGCTTCAGAAAGGTGTTGAGAACAGAACTTTAAATTTTTGTTGTAAAACTGCTGATTTTGTACCACAAGGACAAAGGTGTGAAATCTTCCTGGTGCTATTCCACCATCCCATTCATTTCAGATGTTGCTGCTTGCCTCTAGAATTTTTGTTGTTGTTACTGTTGTTTTGATAGTTTTGTGCGTGGCCTTCCTTAATTCCATAAGGTGTTAACAGTTCTCTCATGCTCCAGATATCTCCAAACAATCTCATTTTCATGGCTTTGAAGAGCTCAAAGCCTGTGTTGCACTACTCTGAACTGCTTCCAGATGATAACTGAAGTATGAAATTCTTATGAGGCAGTAATTGAAAAATTTGTTAAGCCTGATATTTAACACCTGTTCAGACTGACAAATGTCATCATACACCAGGTTTTTTAGCCAAAAAGAAGCTAATGAGTTAGAGTGACCCCCACTCAGACATACATGCCACTTGGACTTGAGATCTCCTCTGCAGCAGTGCCCCCATCCTGTTCCTCACGATGCACTGGTAGAAGCCAGCATCAGCCCTCTGCACAGCTGGGATGATGTACCTGCAGGACAAAAGGCACAATTAGAGAGAACTTCTTCCTGGTTTGCACTTTGTCTTAAATGCTTATTGCATTTTTTCTTACAAACAACATTTATTCATTGTGTAATCTCAGGTCTTTGGTTACAGTATTGTCTGTTATATACAGATTTTTAAAAAACAGCTGACATGAAATGCATGAAAATACCCATCAATCTTCAGTTCTGCATATGGTAAGTGCCAAGTATATAAAAAATTCACATGAAAGATGTACTTAAATTTTTTTCCCTAGTTTTCTCTACTTTCATTCATAAGGCAGAGCAGGTAATTAGTTCAGAGAAGTCACAAGAAGCTTAAGTGTAGGTATTAGGAAGACTTGCAAGAAGCAACAAAGCTTTCCAATGAAAGGTCCACTGTGTGACCACTGAAACTCAGGAATCCTGGAAGTGCCACCTTGTGCTGTACTTTGTGTTTGCTCTGCCCTTCAAACAGACACTCAGTCCAGTAATCTCACCTTCCTCATTCAGCTACATCTGATTGCTCAACATGAAAATGAGCTGATAGGCACAGTTTTAATGGGAATAAAACACATGAATAATAGAGATAATCCTGCATTAAACAAACATTAATCACAAGTGCATATTCCCCTAGTCACCTTCAGGAGATATTATGGCAGGATTAATGAAAGTCTTTATGGAAGATAAGAAAAAGGAAAACTGCTGAATTTTAATCTTCTAAATTTAATTCCACTAAAAGAAAACATTTCTTCTTAGACTCAAATATATTGTACACACCCACGTGCAGAGCTTAATGCCTGAACAGGATCAGGGAGCAGAAATCAAAGGAGGCAGAAGATTCTGGTGTCATCACAAAAGACATCCCAGCAATTGGGTTACAGCACCAAACACAGGGGACTAAACCAGAGCCCAATACCCTGGGCAAGCTTTAGACATCCCTGGGGTTTCCAGGAGCCCCTGGCTGCCCATGGATATGTGCTGTGACTCCTGTGATCTCCCCAGGTCACTGCTGTGACCTCTCCAGGAGCCACCAGCACATTCCCTTTCGTAGCTGTGGCAGGAAGAAAAGGAAGATTCCAACCTGTGCTCCTTATGGGAGCCACAGCAACCCCAGCACACCAATAATAACTCTGAAGCAGGAATGTTGTTTCCTCTTGCCTGATGAGCCTCACCATGGGGAAGGGAGTGAGAGAGCAGGTGAAAATACAAGGAGAGAAATCAATAGGACAGGAGGCTTCTCTAGTGCCTTACAAAATAATTTCCATCTTTGCCAGGAAGAAGATTGTTGTAAAACATCATTATAAAAAATAAAAAAAAATCAAACCTGAAGATTCTGACAAATACTGAAAATTAATTTTTATAGTTCTTTTTACCTAACAGTTATACAACAACAATCTTCCTTTCTCCCATAAAGACTTAGTGTCCTACTTGGCTAACACCTTGTCTATTAAATAAAGCCAAAATTAAAGGCCTCTTTCCTGAGTATTCATCTGTACTAGGACAGTAATGCAGAGTTAGTTTTGCTGCCACCAGGACAAAACAAATCAATTAGATCAGAAGTGTCCTACTTTGGTTTTCTTTTCTGACTTATTAAAGTTTCAGCAGGAAACATTCTTAACATGTTGCCTGAAGAAATGAAAATCTTTTAAAAATTTACAGTGAAAATCCCATCTACTTTGGAAATTCCAAGGCAGCCAAAACCTAGAGCAGCTGGATTCTCAGTGGACCTACTGGGTATAATGTGCAAGTACAGCAAGCAAAATTAGAAGAATTAAATAACAAATGTGGAAAAAAGAGATAGGAAATGTGTTAATACTGTTTGAGAATAACTTGAAAATTGCAAACCTGGGCAAGGGATAAATATTAATGGAATTTCTGATTCTGTGTTTACAATTTTAAACAATCTTTATGCACCTCATATATCTTATTATTGTTTTAAAACCTACTTTTCTATTGACCTAACAGCCTTGATGCCGCTTTTTGTGCTATGCTTTTCCCTTTCCACTTGTTTTCTGACTGGCACAAAGGGATATAAATAGGCTTTCTAAGTTCTAAATAAGACTTTCTTCCCCAGAATGAACTGAATCAAAGGTTAATACAATTCCTTTCAGTGACAAGACAGAATTTTGCTTTATTTTTGTCTATGCTCAAACTTTGAAGACAGATCTTCCCATGGAAGGAACAAGGCTCCTTGAGGTTCCTGGGGATGTCTGCAAGGACTTTGGAAAGTCAGCCCTGACTTTTCCCTCATTTTAAATGGCACAGCCAAGCAGAACCTAGAGTTTGGGAAGGTTCTGCAGAGAGATGGGAAGTGACAAGCGGAAAAGAGAAGCTTCAAGGGGAGTCTCCCTGAGCCTGATGTGCTCCATCACCCCACTGCAAAGAGCTCCAGGAGGGAGTGGCATCAGGAGAAATCCCAGCCAACACTTACAGTTCACCCCTAATCTAAAATTTAAACCCTCATTTTAATTTTAAATGCCCTAAGAGTTGAAAGTGAAGCTATAGGCTATGGGATTTAATAGTCATTATTATGGATACAGAATTAAAGCTAAGTGTATTTTATTAGATATTCGTGTTACTTTTTATCTACTCAAGCTTTTTAACAAAAGACTTATGGATCAACTGATCTAACTTGTACAGAATACAAAATAATACAGAAGCAAAACTGAAATGTGTCCATTGTTAAAACATAATAATCAGATACTTTTAAGTAATTTGGTTGAAAGTGTATGGCTGCTTAGACATGACCTTAGTTGCTTAAATTCCAATGAATCAATATCTTCAGGCCACAAAAGCAAATATGACAGATACACCTGGTCCAGAACTTAATTCAAAAGAAAACAAAGAAGGGGAAAAAAAGAAAACAGAAAAAAGACACTGCCAGAACATTAAAGTCTCTTAACCTATGGACATGACCAAAATTGCTCCTGCAGTCAGCAGCATCGATTTGTTTTCATAAAGTGGATCTCAGATCACAAAGAATTTCTGAGGTTGTTTTAGAAATACTTAACACAAAGTGGTGTATGCACAGTCACTGTACACACCGGGCTGTGCACACAACCAGCCTCGTTAGACAAAGAGGAGCTGCTCACTCAGGGTCACCAATGTCACAATGCAAAGGCTCCAATTAGTTCTTTACTCACTTGGGCTGTTATAATAATATATTTCAGCCTGTTACAATATAGACATTACTTTAACTGAGACACACTAAGTAATATCAATTACTAAAGAATCTTTGATTGATGATTCAAATTGCAGCAGAAGTCACTTACTCAGGAAGATTCGTGCATTTAAACAGGCTATTTACCCAAGAGAACTGCACAGCAAACTGTTATGGGGTCAAAGGTTAAATTTTGCAACTGCAATTTTTATGTCTGAGCATATCTTTTCCTTGCTTTTATTCATCTTAATGCACCTATGCCATTTTTTTGGAAGCTTAAAGCATTGCATTTCTACAGAATCAAAATCCTGTTTAGCTGATCTCTGGCTGTGGTGTAGCAGTAGGGATGCAATTTCTAAATTAATATTTTCTATCAATATTATTATCATAAACCAGCAGCTTCCTCTGTGCCAGATCTTTTAATGAGAAATAGAAATAAGAACAATATAAAAATGCAGAATTAATAAATATGGCTGGAATCATGACCTGACATTCACAAGAACAAATTAAATGCAATATAAGAAACAAGGGACTGACTGCAGGTATGTGCACACACACCTTGGGAAAGGTGTTCCAATAACTGACTCACACTGGCATACACAGTAAAATTCCAATTTTGTGTTGGGATGTCCACTTGTTTAAGAAATACCACGGCACTCAGGTCTTATTTCAAAATGTCACACATTCTTACTCAGGTTCTCCTAATACCATGAAATGTCATCTCCCAGTGCCTAGCACACCTACAGGGCTGGAGTTCTAACCTTTGCTTGCTGTTCATTCCATGTTCATGTGTTTGTCCCCCCACACCATTTTTCCTCCCTCTCTCTCAGCATCTCACATGGTCAAGGCTACTTCCAGCTCCTTCTACCCAGCCACTACAATTGACTCTGCTGTAGTTGATCAAAACAAGTGGCATTTGCACAAAGCCATGCTCAAACATTCTGTGATTTGTTGTGCTATTAGAGATCTTTTCATTTTCTAGAAAGCATTCACAAATCTCCTCTTTATGTGCATGTGGCTCATAATCCACATCCCAAAGGCTTGAAAGCAGCAACCTTGAACAGATGCAGGAACTCAGGACTAAGAGAGCTCCTCCAAATAAATTCTTGCATTTCTAGGTAACTTCAGATAGAGCTAAATGCTTGGGTTTAAACAGTTGCTAAATACTTGAAATGCTAAATGACCCCCACAAGTTTTAAAAAGTTTTTTTAAGGGAATTTTTTCCCTTACTGCTCTGTAAATGTAAATAATATCAAAAACAGTACTAGTGCTAGGTTAAAACTTTGAAAATCTTTGAGAAAGGTAATTATGTAACCTTGTGTAACAATATAGAACTTTATATCATTATCTGCATTATCTGCATACCAACTCATACTGTAATTTCTACCTATAGTAATGCAGCACAACTTTTCCCTACCTTAAGCCTTGTGTCCCAAAAATGCAGTATTTAGCTTGGTTTGCAAAAGGTACAGGTGTTGTACCTGGGCACTCTCTATCACATACCCACCCCTCACAATCTCTGAATTCACCTGGCAAATTCTACAAAATTTGAAAGCACCAAGTAAGTTGCATAAAAACTAAATTTCCATAAGGGTACAGAAATTTCTGTTTGCATGGAGAAAACCCAGTCAATCCTCCCACATTAGAGAAAAGCAGACAAAACTTGGCTGTCTGGCAGGTTGGTACTTGGCCAGCCATGTGCTGCCTATCAGCAGGAATGAGCTCTGATAAGCCACGCTGTGGTTTAGCTCCTGTTTGATGGAATGTCTGTGGGATGGGGAGGGAGGTCCTGGGGGCAAACTGCACAATCATTAAAGGGCAGTTTGTTAAATTATCAGCTCCCTTTTGGAATTGCTAGAATTGAAACAGAAAGTTTTGTGTGGAATTTAAGACAGAGCACATTCCTCTAGATCTGATGGAGACGGACAGTCCCAGCGAGCTTGGCTCTGTTCAAGGATGAGTTCACACATCAAATGTAACATTTAGCTAAGGAATGTGTCTCCTATTTATCACAAACACAGGTAAAAGTTACATCTCCAGCAAAAGGCACTTCTGGTACTTAAAAATTCCATGTTAGGACCCACATTCTGAAGCATCAAGTCTTATTTTTAGCAAAGGAATCTCATCTCATCTGTTTACAAAACCTACTCTTCTTTCGTTACAAACCGCCAAGTCCCTGTGTCTGTATCTACAAAGGTCTTTGAGGCATTGGGAAACTGAGGGGGTGGAGTTTGGTTTGGGGTTGTTTTTTGCAATTCCACTTGCAGAGGTGATTATATGGATGTTATTTACTTGTATTCACTGGAGTAGGAGGTGATTTCACTGTCGTTGTGCAACCACTTGAATTCCAAGGGCCAGCTGCCTTCAGCAAGGCACGTAAGGACCAGTCTGTTTCCTTCCAGGTGGATCTGGGGCAAGCCTGGTTCTGTCTTGAAGAATGGTGCAACATCCCCTGAAACACAAAGGAAAAGAATGGGTTTGGAGGTTATTTAGGAAAACATAGGAGAAACTACGAATATTTAACTAATTTCTCCTCAACATGGTCATGGTAAAACAAGAAACAACATGATTCAGTTAAGGCTTGCACTGGTGCATTCATAACTAAGCTTTATCTTTAGGGGCAGAATTACCAAGATCTTGATAAACTTTGTCTTTGCCCACTCAGATACTCTTTTGTCCATGTTTACTCTTTCTCTAGATGAGAATTCCAACATTGTCTGCTGTGGCAGGAAGTGAACAATGCTATTGTTGTTTTCTCCCCCCTTCTCCTTTCTGAGGATTAAATCCATTCAAAGCTTTTTTTTTTTTGACCTTTTTTTTTTTTTTTAATTTCTTGAATAGAAACCAGAAGTGCAATCTTGGATAGAAATTATTATCACAGCAGGAAAAGTCTCAGGGTAAATGAAGATTCTTGATAGGGAAAAGAATTTAGAAAAAAACACCTCACAAGTTTAATGTATTTTTCAATGTTCTTGCAAACCAAAATGTGTTAAATTATATTACCTAAAGCCACTAACAGATTTTTGAATTAGTGTACTTTAGTAATATGCAAGGGTCACTTGTCATCTCAAACTCTTGTGTATCACAAATAAAACACTCCAAGCAGCAAAATTCTTGATGGGTAAATTGCCAAAGCTCTGCTCAAATACAGATTGATTCTGAGTCCACACCTGCTGGAGATCTAACCTTGTCACCTCTGGAAGATGAAGGTTTTTCACACTTTACGTGTTGAATTTCTATTTGTAACTATAAAGGAACTATAGGCTTAATTTTAGAAGCATACAAGTACCTTCTATAACCAAACTTAAAACAGAATGGCCTGGGTTGGAAGGGAGGTTACAACTCATCCAGTTCCAAGCCTTCCCATGGGCAGGGACACCTTCCACTAGACCAGGTTGCTCCATCCAACCTGGCCTAGAACACTGTCAGGATTTTATGATCACACATAAAACACAGGAGTTATATTCAAAGTCAGAAATTTTATATAAAATATTAATAATACTGAATAAGTAGACAACACTGAACTCTTTAAATTGTGCAAGGTGTGTGTGTGTACTTTATATATAAAATACAGAAAAAAACCCAAGACACACAAATGTTGGCTCAGTGCAAGTAATGGTTCAGTTAAACGGCAAACTTTCCTTTAAACATTTATTTTACAAAAAAATCTCAGGCATTTTTATACTTGGAATTCTATATTTAAATAATTGTATTTCATTTTTATACTTGGCATTTTATGTATACTCAGGCATTTTATATTTAAAGAGTTTAACCTATTTTTTACAGTTTGGAGTGCCCTCATGTGCTGTTCAAGGCTGGCTGGAATTTTTGAGCCCACAGGTCCCAGAATCACTGACAACCCCAGGACAGCCCCAGGAGATTTGGCCAGGGGATGCTGGTGGTGGTTTCCCAGTGACTCTGGTGTTCCATGGGGTTCACAGCCCAGCATGGGGATGTCCAAGTCTCCAAGCCTTTATCTTTCCCTTTGCCTCTGTTCAGGGGATGTTTCTGACTGCAGAGCTCGTGGCAGCACAGACTCGTTATCTCTGAAGGGTCAGAGCTGGGCTGCAGCTGAGCGTGGCCAGGGAGCCCCAGGCTCACTGGTGCCAAATATCTCCTGCAATGGGCCATAAATCAGCCTCTGCTCCCCACTCATCTGATGATTTGGATTGACAAATTGTCTCCTGAGTTTTTAGAATTTAACTTCAGGAACACAGTCATTTATGCAGAAAGAAAAACCACATAATCTTAAAGTAATGCTTATAAACTACCACACAAAATCCAATCTAACAAACAGAATTAAAAACTATATTTGGGGTAGGGCCCTTTTCTGATTTGTAGCATTTTAAATAACCTGTCTTTCAAAGAAACTGATTTATGATGAGTGCAGATCAGCAGTATCTTCTCCAAATTGGCTATATAGGAAGCTACAACAATACAACATAAGAGAAAATTGGAACAGCTCCAAACTAGCAGATATTCCCAGACAAGCCAAGGAGAGTTTTTACACTTCTCTACACTACTACATGACTGAAAATACATTCTGCAAATCTTCTCTTTAGTTGTTGTTTTAATGACTGTAATTATTGTGAAATCATCTCAATTCTTGTCTCCTAACTAGTAAAACCAACCAATATTTTAAATGGTATAAAGAAAAATTTAAGTCGGAGTTAGAGGATGTTCCTGTGAAATGCAGTTATTTTACCCATAGAGAAAAGCAAATTTTTACAAAGATATTTCTAAACAAGAGAGAAAATGTTAAATCCTGTCAAAGGTATTTTGGGGAGTCTCCCAAGGGAGCTGCAGACATTCTACCCTGGTAAGATTAAAGGTGTCAGGCTTCCTCTGGAGATGGAAAAGCAGCAGCTGGGAGCAGTGCTGGTGTTCAGGGGAAGATAACAGAGCCCAGCTGGTAAAGTGAAATGATTCGTGCTGAGTCTCCTGAAAACAACACTTACCTGCTCTTGTACAGAGGCTCCTGGAATGAGTTCCCTAAGCTGTTCCTCCCCAAAGAAAGTTTCGTCACTGAGGGAGAGCTCAATGAAGTGCTGTCTGCACCAAACCGAGTCATTTGTTGATCCTTGTTTTCAGTGATTTACAGACTCAGCAGCACAACCTCCTTCATTACTTACTCTGAATTATCCACTTACTCCTAACTTATGTCTTTCCAAGAAAAAAAATGATGCATTTGGAAGACAAAGTGCTGCCCACAAGTCTTCATTCAGCCCTATATTTCCTACTCAAATATTCCAAACCCAGGGATGCTGCAGCCCACTCAGAGCTATCTCCCATTTAAAGCATCACAATCAAGCTGTTATTACATGAAAGTGATTCTCAAAACTCAATCCAGTCTGTTAGAAGCTAAAATTTAATAGACCTGTGGGAATATTTTTATAAAGAGTATAGCATGCTTTATAAATTACCCTGGCTCTCTGGAAGATTTACTTAAACCCTTGAAGTAATTTTATCTTCTAATCCTTTATTCCTGACTTTCTCATCAATCACATACCATCAGTTTATCAAATTCAATTATACAATCAGAGCTCACTAAATATTCACTGAAAGCAGAAATGAAAATAAAATACAGAGCAAAAATTCCTTGCAGAGAGGCAACTTTGATGACGTTGGCATTTCTGCAGCACAGGGCTGCTCACACCTCAGGCACAGGATCCAACCAGGGCTGCACCCTGGGCTTTATTTACAGCTTTAAGCTGTAATGGAAAGCAGAATTTAAACCTGGACCTGCAAGGAAAGGTTTCGTTGTTATAGAGCATCCCAGGGAGACAGGAAAATTGGCAGGGAAAAAATCAAAGCCATCTCAGAAGGGTTGTGGGAAAGAAATAACTGGCTGAGGGATAGAAAGCACAAGGGGGCAGTTAATAGGTATGAGATACTTGCACTCAGTAATTAACTACAGAAAGGGCTCACCAGGAGGGTAACCTTGGCCAACCAAGGGTTTAGAAGCCAGGAAGGCATTTTTTTTGTTTTATACTCTCCAAGAATGAAGTAAAATACTAATGAAAAGATAATCTGAGTCCTAAAACCAAAAATAATAAAATACCACAATTATTATTCTTGGGTAGAATATTTCTCAGCCTACCAAGAAAAAAAAAATTTGTAAGCATTCATGTTATACACTGTTGCTTTTTCTAAATGTGTTAATACTTCCAGCCTCTCTGGCTCTTCAGCGATGCTGATTTAAAAATAAAAGGAATAGTAATTAAAGAACTTTTTGAGTTGCAAGAAGGAGCAAAGGGATAAGGTGCCAATCTGTTGGCACACGTATATTTACAGCTTCAGTAAATTTTCATTAAGTCTGCTTACCAAACTCGCCAACATTCTCACTTGTGTCCTTAAAAGGATGCTGCAGATTTATTTTTATGTAAATCTCAAGAAGAAGTGGGATTGAATACGCCAAAATTATCTGGAAATTTGCTCCACAGCATTTCTGCCCTGCTTTTCTGCACCTCCAAACTGTTTGACTTTCATTATGCTGCTGGGTTGGCCCATCCAATTTCTTTCTTTGGAACATGCAAAGCTCAGATGGATTTTACCTCAAAATAAAGTTTCAGGATTAAATTCAACAACATCCAGACAGTTTTTTTGTGGACTAATGCTGACATTTAAAGACAAAATGGTGCTGGGTGCTGGGTCCTCTACCCTGGGTTTGTCCCCAGCCCTGGCAGATGAGATGCACAGCAGGAGAGCTGAAAGCTCCCTCACGCTCTGTTCTCCCTGAAAATCACATTCAGGCACAAATTTACAAATAGGACCTGCAAGAGGAAAAGGCAGCCTGGCTGGACAGCTTTGGAATGGCAAGAAAAATTCCAGGAGTAAATACCCATTAAATAGCCAAGGAACCCCAGTCTCATAGGGATTGCATGAGTCAATGTGACTCCAGAAACAGGAGAGCACCATCTCAAGGACCTCAAACATTTCCTCTAACAAACAATTAACAAGGCTCAGCTAATGATTCTGAAGCCTTGAAGGGCTTACATTTGTAAAACACATAAAGGAAAGTCAGATTAAATAGATCTTTCAGTTACTACAAGGTCTTACAAGATCTTGAAAGCACAGTTGCACAGTCCTGTCCCTCAGGAATTAATAAATTTTAATTAAAAGACACAATTTGATCTTGAGAACCTCTATCCTGCTGAGAAAAGGAAAGTTACAGTATTCCAGAGAAGTACCACACCACCCTCATCAGTAAAACCCACTGCAACTACCCTCTTCAAATCTCAGCTTTTTTTTTTCCCCAGAAAAGTTGGGTAACAACAGTTACAGGCAAAATCAGGTGCCCGCTTCCTGAAAAATAGATTCTGTGGTCCTGAACACTCAGAGGAAAGAAAAAGCAGGGAGTGCTGAGAGCAGGTTGAGAGATCCCCAGTGCCACTGCTATTTGTCTTTGTTATGCATCTCTACTTTTAAGTCATTTTTAGGTGAGCTAATATT